ATCATTCATGCATTTTATCATAAAAAACTTTCTTCACGTAAAAGAAAAACTCATAGTATTTCGGTTATTTTTAGTTTAATTTATTAAGTGTTGCTATTAAGTAATAATAAGTAATAAATATTGCCCTAAATATAGCCTTAAGTTTAAAACATATATGCTACTAATTCGACACTGCAATAAAGCCCAATCAGTACAGATTGTAGTTTTGTACAAGGAAGGATACACACAAAAAGATATCAAAGAACATCTTAGTCTCGTAGAACCTGTAGAATATGCTATTCTGTCTACCTCCACACAGCAATCAATGGTCGGGTTCTTACACCCGTACCATGACAAAAAATTTTTCAATTTTTTAATGTGTCTGTGAAGTCCAGTGTCGGTTTTTTATATGTTTTTTATATGTTTTTTAAGAATTTTAACAACTAAAAAAATCAATATTTTTACATATAAGGAAATGAGATCTCTCCATTGTAGTGGTATTTATAAATTGACCATAGCTGCGATGATGGCTTTGTAAAGCCGAAAGCGCTCAGCTAGGAATTATTTAAAATATACACACTTCAAAAATACTTTTCTTTTGACTTGTCATAAGTGTGTACAAAAAACATATAGAGTTGCAAATAATTCAAGGGTATGCAACAATAAAACACTAAAAAACTTCTAACAAAGATAGCTTAAGGCCTTTTTTTGGTATGAAGTTTGAAATTCATCATTAAAAGAATGATTATGATCTAGTAGTTGAAATGCGTATGTAGAATCTGGTTTTCTATTATTGAAAGCCCTTTTATGTTCTACTATTCATTTATTAAAATTTCTACGAGTTTGACCGATGTAAGTTTTTGGGCAGTCGCCATATTTAAGTGTGTATACACCACTGTGTATGTGCTTTTTGTTTTGGTTGTTGTTTGTTCTGAAACCTGGTGTTATTCCTTTCTTTTTTATATGTTTGGCTATTTTTGTTGATATTTTGCCTGTAATGTAATCCTGGCTGAGAAACTTGAGAGAATGGTTTCAAATACCAGAAGCTGCGAACATAATTCATGCGGCACAAAACAGAGAAACCTATCGTATGATGGTCGCCAACCTTCGGTAGAAGATGGCACATAAAGAAGAAGAATGTAATCAAGCAGAAGGTACTGGGTTTTCTCTGGTGGTGGAAATACATCTTTCAGGGTTTTCTTGTGTAGTTTTTGATTTATTATTTTATTGTTTAATTGTTTGTTTGTTGTATTCATTGGTTACTGCTCTTTGCTTAATGATATTTAATTCTGTGTCAAAGTTGTATTTTGACATCGGAATTTCTTATAATCTATGTAACATAATATGATAGGCTGCCAGTTTTAGCAGATGATACATATTTCTAAAACTAGTAAAAGAATATACAAAATGGCGAGTAGAAATAAACGGGGAAGAATGCAATATGTGGTAATCGGAGACAATGGCAGGAGTTACAATAATTAGATAATAGCACAATTATTAAACACATTTCAGAATACAAGGTGTTAAAATTACTATGGAAGAGATATAAAGGACATTCAAAAGAGAAAAACCAGAGGAAAAACAGTAATAACCGAAAAAATATCTAGAAGCCGCTAAATGAATTTTCGGTACAGAGACACTTACATGCTGGAATGTAATGTCTGATGGGCAAACAGGTGTGTAAGGCAAATGATGCAGAGAATGGTATCGGGTAAATGATGATGAAAATGATCCACAGGTATAAAGAGATGATGCTGTCGAAGAAAGAGAAAGAAAAAAAGCTAATGGGATGAATAGTGACGGCAGACCAATGGGATTTGGGAGATCTCCAGCCTAAACCATATAGGTTAAGATGCCAAATGACGACAAGAAAATGACACGGCATTGATCGCTATGTTTTGCAAATGAGAATTTGAAGAAAACGGTTAGAATGGTAGGAGCTACAGAAGTAAATATCGTAATGATAAAATGTCCAAAAAGCACTCTCCTGACTTGTTGCTCAGGTAGGTCGTGATTCGCTTAGGAATCAAATACTACCAAGATGTTTATGCTACTGTGTGACTGCAGATTCCCACGTGATAAAAAAAGTTGAGTTTGGGTAGGTGAGGTCATCAACATATAATACAAGATAGATTAACTGCTGCAATGCAGTCACCTTCCTTTAGTACGACAGATAAAACTAACTTAAAGCAGTCCCTGCATTTCTGTCTAATGGACCTGGTTTATCGACCACGTGACCTTCTCACATATTACGTGGTCGGTAAACGTGATAAATTAGAAAAAAATCACGGACTGCTTTGCGTTATTGTTCTCTGTCGCACTAGGGGCACGGACTGGTATTGCAACGATCAGTCTATCTTATATGATTATTGTGAGGTTAAGTTTGTTCATGTTTGGTTTGGTGTGGTCATGTTTCGTTAAATTTTGTTGAGTATGGTTGTGTTTGATTGGGTCTGGTTAGTTTTTGTTAAGTAAGGTTAGGCTCATTTAGGTTTGATTGAAGAAACCAAAAATTCTTTTTCTTTGTTGATGTTTAATCCAGATTTATTTTAAAGTTCGTTGTTTGTTTCAAAGTTGACTTGTTGAAGTCGGGATTGGGCGAAGCAAGTAAGCGCATGTAAAAAGATAACGGTTGGTAAAGTTTGGTTAGATTTACTTAGGTATGGTTAGGTTTGTATTAGTGGTCCTAGGCTGAGATATCTTTTAAAGGCTCCAGACCCCTCCCCCCTCCCCCAAATAAAGACAAAAAAGGGTTTGTATTGGTTTGGTTTATTTAGGTTAGGTTCAGTTAAGCTAATTTATCCTTAAAAATAAAACTACGAATTTAATTTCGGTAAAAGCCCATGTTGGTATAAAATATAATAAACATGTTGATTCCATTGCTAAAATTGCAATAACCTCTACAGCTGACATTTTACCAGATGAGAGAATTTGTGTTCCTGACGATTTTCTCATCTCTAAAATAAATCAAATAAATCGTTGAAATACTTCCTAGAAAACTTTTTGCGACCACTCAACAACACAATACGTGTATATACAAACACACATCCCTAATTCCAGATGATTTAGGAATTTTAATACCGCCAGTAAATATACAACAACTTTAATAAGATTGAGATTTGACCACGCTTGTTATCCTGCTTATCTTGCACAAATCAAAATATACAATTCAGATTTATGCGAAACTTGTCAAGAACAAGGAGATCTTAACCACATCTTTTTTAAGTGTTCCAAATATCTTCAGCTTTCAGGAACTCTTTTAAACAACTTGAAAACTCTGCAAATATTTCCTTCACACCAAAAAAATAACCTATTGGCTACTACTAATAAAAAAGTCTATAATTGTCTGATTAAATTTAAAAATAGTACAAATGTGTGTCTGTAGTCAATCTTAGCTAAGCTTGTTACCCTTTGTTTTAATCCAATTGTTATTTACCTTTCTTTCCGTGACCTATTGCTATTAGTGTCTTAAACATATGTCCTGGTGGATGAGCCGAGAAGTGAGTATTACTGTTTTTCCTGATATTTGTTTTTTCTTGCTATTGTTTTCTCTTTTTGTTTGATTCAGTTATAGGGATTTTATGAGTTTTTTTTTTGACTCGAATAGATAAACTTTTTGCACTAGTAATTATTAGTATAGATATACACTTTTTTATTTTTTTTTGGTATTAATTATATTAGAATATTAATATTAGTAATTTTTCATTTATTATTTCTTAATACGTTATTGTCTAAATAGCTAATAAAGTGCTAAAGGCTGGATAAAAATAGTTAATTGTACTTTGATTCTGATTTTTTTATTAAGATAACACTTAATTGGGGTACTGTGGGATAGACAGATTACCAGAAATACAAAGAAGAGAATTTATAACACCTTGATGCGCAGTATAATGACCTATGGAGCAGAGAATTGGGTAATAAATAAACGAAACAAGTCCAAAATCACAGCAACTAAAATGGAGTTCATGAGAAGAAGCTGCATAGTGACAAAAATAGATCGCATCAAAAATAAGGAGATAAAACGAAGAATGGTAGTAGAACAAGACATACTCAGCTACATCAAAGAAAAACGTTTAATTTGGTATTGACCTGTGAGAAGAACAGATCACACAAGGTGGATAGCAAAGAATTCGGATTGAAGCCCAATAGGAAGGAGGAAAAGAGGTAGACCCCGAAGATCATGGAGGGATGGAGTGGACGAGGCCATGGAAAGACGAGACCTTAGAGATGGAGAATGGCAGAACAGAAAGGACTGGAGACGTTGGCTGAAATAAGGAAGGCGGTGACAGCTGTAAAAATCCTTATATAGATAGAATTAATTTAATTTTTAGAATAGATTTAATTGCTATTATTAAGTTAAGTTTTTCATAACACCAAAGCATATAAAAAATGCAGATTTGTGATCAGCATCATTAGATCAATTAGGAAATGAAGATTAAAAAAATATAATGTAGGTACTTTAAATATATTTTAAAAACAAAAGGTTAAGTTTTCTTAATCCGTCTTTAATTATATTTTTTAAAAACAAGAACGTAATGAAAAATTAGGGATATTTTAAATAAAAAATGCATGAATCTCAGAAACACTATTTTTGGACACAAACCATGGGTCAAAAATTAGTTCACTGTATGGAAGGTAGATTGCAAAATGAAAGACTTAGAAAATAAAATGCACAAGACAAAGAGTATTAAGAGGTTTAAATAATCTTCAGAAAAAGTCCCATGTTCGAAGAATATAATTACAGCGATGCCCCTCTTTTTTTGAAATTTCCATAAAGAGTACTTTTTAATAAACCACATTTATCTTACCAATAGACAGAAAACATAAGCAAGTTTGACACGTGTAGAAATTCTGTTTTTGGTAATAATCAAAAAATAAATTTCGTCAACCACTGTTTACAAAATAATATAATAAATAACGTAACGTCGCAATACATTAATCTTTTTTAAATTAATTTTTCTTTTTAGTTTAGTCTCTTAGCGTAAATTAAAAAATAAGTGAAGGTAATTAAAAAAACTTACCTAAATCTATCAAATTTGGCATATCTTTTCCAGTCTGCTGGACAAGACTTGTAAGATTTCATCACATAACTGACTAAATCAATATTAACTTTGTCACTTTCGAAAATGAGCCTTAATTCTTTGATTAAATCATCCAAACTGTTAATAACAGGTAAATTATTTCCCATTTCTTTGTAAAACTTAACATCGAAATCATCGTCATCGCGATGTTCTTGTCCAATATTATTAATGTAGTTGCACACTTCCATTTTCGAAATTTTACTGATATTATTTTAAAAACAATAGCTGTGAGTATTATCCGGAGACTTATTGAAAATAACTTACACCGCGAAAGACAAACTCAATTGGTTAAGTTTTAAATTATGAATGATAAACTTTTATCTTGGGTCAAAAAAAGTAAACACTGAAACAATTTCTTAATGCTATTTTGATAAGTGGTATGCATCTAAGAATTTCTTGTAGCTAAGTAAGTCACACTAGTGGGGACATGTTGTTAAGACTTTGTATTTATGCAAAATACATATGAAGCTACATATACATATAAAGATGACATTTCCGAGATACTCGAAGAAAATTACTTTATGCGTAAGCATGGACGGAACATTTAAATTTTTACAATTTAAATATAGAATTTACAGAATTAGTTAATTTTCAATTTAACTAATATATTTTTTTCTTTATTTAATACGAGTAATCAGTAGACGCCTTTATTACCATTAGTTCGACCGTTATCTGATTTATGCGGTTTCTATTAATTTATCATTTGCCATTCTTTGATTTTAATTTCCTTTTTATTGTAGGTTTATTCTTTAATAAACTGCCTTATTTATTTTATTCACTCCTTTTTCTGCTTATTGAATAAGCATATTTTTTAATCAGATCAAAAATAAACTCTGGTTACCCAGGTATTGTAGGTTGAGTATTAAGTCAACTAATCGTTTATAAAAAATAATAAAATGTTAAAAACTTAACCAAAGTCTCGGGAACTAATTGATCAAAGGGAAACAAAAATGGCATATAAAAGAACTAGATGTGGACACAGCTGTAATAACTGAAATAAAAAGACAAAAGTCTGACAACTTAAGATATTATTACCATTTCTTTATTAGTATGCATGCCTAAAAGTCAATAAGCGTAATAATTCGTCAGTAAAGACGCTTTTTGAGTGTAATTTTCCTCGTCATATCGGATTTACTGAAAATTTAAATTTAGGTTTATCTTACGTTTATTTCACTGTTGGACTTGAGCTCAGGGTTAATTTTACTTGGTCGATTGTTAAAGCCATCCCTTTTTGGTGGTGATAAACATACGTTTAAAATAAATCAGAAAATGGAGTGAACTGAACTGGAATAAGTTATTTGCGAGTAAAAATGTTCTTTTAAAAATACGTTTTCAGACGGTTTTTCACAAATAAGTCAAAAAGTAAGTATTTTATCGAAAAAATATTTTAAGTCAAAATGTAGCTTATAATAAAACAAAAAAAAAATGTCTATTTATGAGCTCTTTCTTATTTCTTATGTCTTATGTCTTTCTTATATCTTATGAGCTCTCAAATTAAATATTTCAACATAAAATAACCAAAAATAAAGCACTTTTCGGGAAAAACTCATCAAAAAATTTTTAAAGTGGTTATACTAGGCTTTTTTTTTTGTTTTTTAGACATTTTTTGGGCAATTTTGTGTCTTTCATTCTTTGAACATAACCATACCAAATTAAATCTTTTCTCTCAATATCTGTTGTTAAGTAACCATCTACTCTAATTATTATATATCTTATTTCCTCATTTCAAACTCTTTCCCTGCGGGAAATAGCTAACGATCTTCTAAACACATCCATTTCTACAGCTTCCAATTTTTTTCTGTTGTTCTCGGTTATTCGCCAAGTTTCTGCTTTTAATTAGTGTTTCAAATATATTGTATTTTCGCTTTATTCCTATTTCGGAGCTCCAAAGTATTCCATTTAGGCAGCCAATTGTTCTTCTAGCTTGTGTTACCCTTTTCTTTATTTTCTCATCGTCTTTTCCCGTTCTATCGAAGACTACTCCCAGGTACGTGTATTCACTACAGGATGTGATTTCTTCATTATTCTCTAGTTCGGTATTGGATAATTCAACTCCTGTGGGTTGATATTTAGTTTTTTCCACGATAATTTCTCCACTGTTTATACTCCTCCTATAGTTTCCTTGCCGTATACTCTAGATCGTATTTATCATTAGCTATGATGACTTAATCATCAGCAAATTGTAAAGTAGGTATATAAACAAACCTCTCCGAGGTCTATACCCATACCGTGACATTTACGTTTCCACTGATTTAGTGCTTTTGCAACATATATCTTGAACAACGTTGGTGAAATACAACATCCTTGGCGCAGACTCTTGATTTTCATATAACTTTTTTAAAGCTTTGATTAGAGTGTAGCTAATGTTAGTTTCTTGTAGTAATTTTCACAATTTAGTCACAGGAACTCTGTCGTATGATTTACGGAGGTCAAAAAACATGAAATAGGTCTCTTGATTGGTTGCCAATTTTTTTGGATTAGCTGTTTTAGACAAAACATACTGTTCTTCTTCTGGCTGTGGCCTGTTATTCTTCTTCTTCTTGTTCCCTATACTCTATCTCAATGAGATTTCTAATAATGTGCCCGTACACCCGGCTTAGTGTACTAGTTACCGATATTCCTCTGTAATTTGAGCAGTCCAACTTATTTCCTTTTTTATGGATGGAAGAAATATAAGCTACTTTCCATAGACTTGGTGGTGAGACACCATTTATATATTTGGTCATACATCAAGTAAGTGCTAAAAAGAGTTTATCTGTGCCACATTTTATTAGTTCTGCTGGAATGTTTTCTCGGCCAGAAGCTCTACCATTTTTACTTCAGTTACAGCTTTCTTCACCATATCAACTCCCATTACTATATGTTCGCCTTCAACGAATACTTCCGTTGGTGATTGTGTGGTATATTCTGCTCTACTTCCTGTTAGAAATTTCTCGTAGTGGTCTTTCCATTTTTCTGTTGGTATTAACTGAATAAAAGTAGTATTTCTTTCTGTGTTCTTTATATTATTTTTATTATCTGAACACTTTCTTCCGCCTATGTAAGTGTTGATCTCTTGGCATTTCCTATCTCACATTTCTTTTTTTGCTGCTATTACTGGTCTTCTTGTTATTCTTCGTAAATCCAAATATTTGTCTTTGTCTACTTGATGTTTAGTACTTAACCACCGTACGTACGCTTTTTTTTTCTCCATTATTAGGTTTTATATGTCATCGGTCCACCAGAGCTCTTTACTGTGTCGTTGGGATTTTAAACCAAGCGCTTATTTTGCGGCTGTTTGCACACTGTCTATTATATTTTTATACACTTCTTTCACGGATAGATAATATCTACCAATTTTTTGTTTAGTTTTTGTTGATATAGTGTTCTCGTACTTTTTATGTTGTATGCTGTCCAGGTTGTAATTTGTTGTGTTAAGAATCTCTGTGTCTTCAAATGGTTCTTTTGTTGTCTTGGATCTAAACGGAAAAACTATTTCGGACTTTACCATAAAGTGATCCGAATCACATTATACTCCTTTAGATACTCTTGTGTCCATTACGTGTAATGTTGTATTTTGTTTTGTAATCACGTAATCTATGATCGATTTTAAATTTCTTGTTACTTGGATCCATGTATATTTGTGTATCTGCTTGTGTTTAAAAAATCCATTTGTTATTTTAGCTGATGGTTTTCGCAAATTTGAATAAATTTTTCACCATTGTCATTTTGGGTTATTTCTTCATGCGGACCTACCACTTTGTTGATTACCTTCTGCCCGACTCTACTATTCAGATCTCCTACTATGATAACTTCTCTAGTACTTCCAATTTTAGTAATTTCGTAATTGATTTTCTCAAAGAATTCATCTTTAACAGCATAGGGTTTATCATCAGAGATAACATATTATATACCAAAAATAGTTACAGGTTTTTGGTTGATTGTCATGTTGATTCTTATAATATTTTCTGTGTTCATGTTTAATTTGGTAATTTCTTCGATGACTTTTTCCGCCTTTCGGTTAATGCTCTGTACATTCCAAGTGACAATGTTCATTGTCCATTTTCGTAACTGTTGTCGTTGTCTGTTTGATCCATCCGAAGTTCCAAGGCAACTTTTAGGCTTTTTGGTAAATGCTGTTTTTTAAAAGTGACAGAGAACCAATCTGACGTGTCAACCCCCAACCTGGAGGACCAGGTAATTTTTGTTTTTTTTTTGGTGTTTAGCATCACAACTAAGCAAGTTACGCTCAAAATAAAGGTAGTAGCTTTTTTTTTCATAAAAAAGTCATGAAAATCAGTTTCTAATTGGTACCCAAAAAAAGCTAATCGTTATTGCTTTACAATTTACTTTATGTATTGTTTATGGGATTTGTAAGTTTGACGGGTTCAAAATGCTTATTGTTGAAAAAAAAAATTGTTTTAAAGTCAAAAATTTTTCTTCTAAATTTTAAAAATCTGACTTTTTATTCAAATATAGGTTTTGCTTATATGAATATTTTTTTTTTGTTTTTTTATAAGCCAAGAATTGGTTAAGATATATTGTAAAGAAAAAGCTGACAAAAGTAGATAATAAAAAGCTTCTCTTTCACCAACTTAACGAAGACCAAGTTGCTCAGTTTGGGAGATTCATTGGAGGTGAGTTAGGATATAGATGATAGAAAATTTTGACACAGAAAAATAGAAAACACTTAATACAGCTAAATTGCAAAACAAAATGGGCGCCAATGAGTTTTAACCTGAAACTCATAAAAGAAGTAAAAATTTAAGGTAATTGCATTTAACAAACCTACAAAATGATTTAGTATTTAGTAGTTAGCTTCAAAACTAACCGAGTTAAAAACCAATCATATATTTTAGGAGATATCAGAATGCGTATACTGGAGCGTTGCAAGATATACGTAATGTTGTATTAAGACAGCATTACCATTACCTCAAAAACCTTAAAATAATAAGGGTTACTTAAGTTGAAATAAAATACATTTATAACATTTTGATTAAAAAAATTATTGTATTTATAGTTTGAACTATTCAAATTTCTTTGCAAGGGGTGGTTTTTATAAAGGTAGAAATTATGCTGTAAAATTTGTAAAGAAATCTGAATTTAATGTCACTGAATAATTAAATAATTCCAAATTGCTTGAATTTACAATTATATGATTTTTTCCAATAGGGGTAGTTGTCACTTCTAAAAATAAAAAGCAACCAACGGCACAAGTCCAATTTCCGAAGAGAAGGGTTAGTATAACCTAAATCAAAATGTTCATACAATTCGGTGGTGACACGGTATAGCCTACAAGGAGTGTCAATACTAATCTTGGAAAAATTAA